GGGGGGGGGGGGGGCTGGTAAAAACCGTTAAAGTGTTATTTCGAATTAACTTCAGGTCGTGTACGAAGAAAGAATAGGAATTGCAACTAGACACGCGCTGACAAAAGCGCGCGTACACACACGCGCACGCACGCACGCACACACACACGCACACATACACGCATGCACGAACACCCCCACACTTAGAGAGAGAGAGAGAGAGAGAGAGAGAGAGAGAGCGCGCGAGAGAGAGAGAGAGAGAGCACGAGAGAGAGAGAGAGGGGGTACGATCATAACCTGTGCTATCCTTGCCACAGACATCAACGAGTGTGAGTTGAACGCGCACGACTGCCCCGACAACGCAGTCTGCATCAACACCGACGGTTCATTCGGCTGCGCATGCGCAGACGGATACGAAGGCGACGGCCGGAGCTGCAGCGGTACGAAACAAAACACTTTCATTTTTCACGTTAATCCTAATCTTTTTAACGCAGACTGGGAGGAAATGATCTCTGACATATCTTTATTTTTTGTCACGCGAATCATGCTCGGACTTTGCACAGATTTGACAAGGGTTTCTGTCTGACATATCGTATGGGGAGGGGATTAACATTGCATCGCCCGTATCCGTGCTGGTACTTGTTCACACGAATATTGCAGCACATAATTATATTAAAATTAAATGATCATCAGAAACATTAGTAGACGTGTCAGCAGACGAATTCGTAGGCTGGGTAGCAGACGGATTATCAAAGAGATTCGAATACGGATTAGAAACGGATTAGAAGTCGGGTTAGCAGACAAATTAGTAACCTAGGTGGCAGACGGATTATCAAAGAGATTAGAAGGCGGATTACAAAACGAATAAGCAGACATATTAGCAGACGCGCTGTTGTGTAATAATTGGAATTAGTAATAACTAATAATTAGAGAGTAAGTAGAAAGATTCGTCAGTAGCTATAGAGATGTTCTCTTGTTCTCCGCAGACGTGAACGAATGCGACAACATCGTCTGCGCGATAGAGACTGCTCACTGCGTCAACACCGACGGCGCGTTCGAGTGCGTCTGTGATGCTGGCTACCGTGACGCCAAGGAGGACTGCGTCGGTGAGTGCAGCGACGCAAGGAAGCGCCCTGACGCAGTTTTTATTGCAATTCTTGCTATATTTGATACGAACGAATCAACTGACGTTTTGAGTTTTTTTTAATATAACGTCGAATTCAAATAATATGTTAAAACACGCAATAATTAAATAATATCACGCAGCTAATTAATTAATTAATTAATTAATCATTCATCTCTGATGTGATAAGCATCGATATTATATCGATAGAAGTTTTTACATACTATGATCTTCGGTCGACTGAAGCAACTTGGTCGCAACTGAAGTTTAACAGTTATAGAATATTTCTCACGTCATCACTTCATCAGAGTCGTTGCTCATTGTTGTTTTTGATATTAAAAAGTGACTACAGACACACGCGTAGGGATGGAAGCTTGCCTGCCACTCGCACCTCGAGTTCTCATAGCTATATGTCATAGTCGGGTATATATATATATACCTCAGCATGGGTGCTCATAGCTATATGTCATAAACAGTTATAGCTTAGCAGGGGTGCTTATATCTATATATCGCTCGTTAACCACCATGTCAGCTCTTTTATCTCCGTCCACCGGCAGATATCAACGAGTGTGAGGAGCTAGCTCAGCCCTGCTCCGACAACGAAGACTGCATCAACGCGCCCGGAAGTTACGAGTGCGTATGCAGCGCCGGATACACGAAAGATGGCGACACCTGCGTCGGTAAGCAGCTCCTAGTGGTGTCAGTGTGGGTGGGTGGGGGGATCTTCCTTTTACTTCTACACCATGCTCGCAACCCTCAGCACACTAAACACACTGCCACTCTCATCTCTAGTTCTACTCTCTCTACTATCTACTCTACTACTATCACTCTTCTACTACTACTACTACTGCTACTACTACTACTACTACTACTACTACTACTACTACTACTACTACTACTACTACTACTACTACTACTACTACTACT